TTAAGAGTAAACATGTCTGAGAGCTGGGCAGAACTCCTAACATTTTCCTTAAGAAATTTACACATTCACCAAAATAACACTTGTACTTCTCTAACACAAAAAATAACGGAGAACTGCCACCTAAGTCATTCCATTTATTCACTTGTCATTCCTCCCTCTCGGCCTCCAAATTCTTATAAATCTATTAAGCTAATAGAGTCTAAAATAAGCGATGACAATCTCCGAGGAGCCGCCAACCTTTTGTTTAGTAATAAAGTTGTCGTCGTCAACTGCCAGGAGACCCCTAGTACTCTTGAAGAGAAGCACCCACCTCCAACACCAAATCTTCTCCTACCTTCGCTACCTGATTCAACTCAAAATGCTCATTTATAAGCAAAGAAGCTGACATCTCGGCTGCAATATTCTCCTTCAAAAGTGGCTCTGTCAGTCGGTGACGCTGGCAGAGCCTTATTACATAATATCACTCTTTTGGTTAATTTAATGCTATCCTTCAAAGTTCCATAAGATATTGCTGAGATCTTTTTATGAGTCAACTAGATTGCTTTTTAAAGAAAAAATACGGTGGTAATTGCCCTATAGCTATTATAAATAATAATAAAATCTTTATTGGATAAATACCAGAATGCAAATCAGAAGTGACCCTGACTCCTAAAATATAGGAATATCCTGTGTATTACAAGCCAGTATCTTCCAAAAAAAATTACACTTTACATGGTAATTTCAGACGCGTATAAGACAATGTCTAGTGTTTTAAAATTAGAAAGTTATTGGGAAAATACATGGTCATTGATACATATTTTTCCAACGTGTGTGAGTGCGTGTGTATGTATGTGAGTGCGTGTGTATGTATGTGTGTGCGTGATAACGTACGCGCGTGTATGTGTGTTTATTATCTCGAGGTGCCATAAACAAGACTCTACAACTTTATAATCGTGTGTCTTAAGCCAGTCAATTATCTTCTAATTTGATTGTTACTATAATTCTTAGTCCGAAGCGTTCTATTCAGTTTATTGTACAATAAGTATGCCTGGTAACAAAACTGTCTCTTTGCAAAAGAGCTGACTGTCCTAGGAATTCTACATTTGTCTATTTTTGTTCTTTTATTGTTTATTTATTTATTTATTTTTGAGAAACCAACAGCGATACAAATAGATATTACATAATTGAACTTAGTAATAAGAATGGCCAATAACAGGTTTCTACGAATTAAATTAGGTACAAAAACTGTCTTTGTGCAGTAAACTAATGTTACATGTAGGTATGCATATAATATTGCCAGGTCGCGTGAGAACGTTGCAAGGCGACTATTAGTGTTGATACTTTAATTTGGAAATTATATTGGTTTTGACAGCGCTTTTTGTATTTGAGAAAATGTATATACCACTAAAAAGTCTGTTATATAATACAGGTAACCGAGTCAGAATTGCATTTGCTCCATACAAAGTAACATGTGGTGGAGTAGCGAATAACGGGGTGATTCTAGTACGACGCTTTGGGGTACAGAATTTAATGTTAGCTAAAAGTTCAGGGGTATCAATATTGCTTCTTACGATATCAAACAGAAAGATCATATCCGATAGTATCCTACGCTCTTTATGAGTTAATAGTCCATTTTTATGGCAATTATCGACATAATCGGATGAGCGACAAGTTCTCATGTAATTGAGGTATCTCATAAAACGGCGTTGTATTCTCTCAATTCTATTTAGGTGCGATTTGTAGAAAGGAGACCATATATTACTACAATATTCTAGCACACTTCTTACATAGGCAAAGTAGACCACTTTTAAAATAATCACATACTTAAACGGTGCACAAGTACGTATAACGAATCCTAAATTACGGTAAGCTTTAGCAACGATGACATCTATGTGATTTATTAGCTGCATTTTGCTGTCAAAGAGAATGCCCAGGTCCCTTATTACTTCCACCCTACCAATTGTGCTCACTCTGTACTGTTATTGCAAGATTCTTGTGAAATCTTTTTATGCACATACATTTTTCTGACACTTAATACCCCGGACTTGTCATAGACTTCTGTGGTAGCATACCTGAATGGAAGAAGTAGCATAACCTTTAAGACAGCACGATGCGCACGTTCGGCTTCAAGCATTTATGTTTTGCTTGCGCCTCCCCAAACTCAGATCGCATAAGTAATGATAGACTGACACAGTGCATTAAATGTCTTCAATAGAGTTCCTGAATCACTTACAAGTCGTAGAGGCTTAAAAACCTATATTAGTCGACGTATTCTGCCAGCAATGTTATGGATATGGGGAGCCCATTGGAGCTTATCATCGACTGTAATACCCAGATATTTCACTGTGTTTGAAACATTGAGGACCGTACAGTTACAACTATCAGATGAGCTTTGCGATGGTAGTTTGCTGTCTAAGTTACATTAATGCTGATGTATTTGCAGAAAAAGGTCACGTGGGGTATGAAGCTTCTGTTTTACCAAAGCTTATGTTTGTGGATTTTTTTTTGTATTAAGGGTTAGGAGACTATCCGCCAGCAAGCGCGATACCTTTTTAGTCCTTGTTCTGCAAGTTTTGTTTGCATGTTTTATCATGAAAGAGGATAGCTGTGTCATCAGCTTACATAGTTAAGTCTGCTCCCTCTAGGTCAAATTCACATAGTTGATTAATATAGATCAGAAAAAGGATTGGTCCAAGTGTACTACCCTGTACTCTGCAATTATTAACTCTAACGCTCTGTTTTCTGTTAGTGAGATAACTCTCAAACCAAGACAATGCTACTCCCCTAATGCCGGCACCTTGTAAGTGGCTTATTAAGGTTGGAATGGATACTGTACCAAATGCTTTCTGCAGGTCTATAAAGACCCCGATGTACTTGTCGCCACTGTCTATATATTTGGTTATTTTATTGATTAGAGGCTCCACCTTTCGCCGTATAGCATCCAAAATTTGTTGTTACCATATTTTACCGACTCTTACAGCCGAATTCCAACCAATTCAGCTTGGTTTTGGTGTCAAGTGTGATTGTGAAGGAGCTGTTCGCGTTCTTCGCACCTATCTGTCGCTTGACGCAGCGGAGGTAGTGCTGAAACTGGATGTTAAGAAAGCCTTAACTGCGTGGATAGGTGCCTTGCTTTCAGCAATTCAACAAAAAAATTATACTATTTATAATTATCTTTGGCAATGCTACAACAAACCAACTAAACTTCTTTCAAAAACAACCTGTTGTATTCATCTGCTAGCTATCAGCAAGGCGATCCCCTCGGGCTCGCTATTTTTAGTTTGGCTACACAACCTATTATTGATTCGCTAAATTCTAATGTGTGTACCTTGATGGCGGAACTATCGCTGGCAATATTTCAACCGTTGTCTCTGATTTTCAGCTCATCATTGATAAATTCACTAGTGTTGGTCTTGGATTAAATTATTCCAAATGCGAGCTATTGATTCCAGAATCAAATTTTTCATCTGAACATTTACAACACATTATCACCAAATTTTCGGCTTTAGCTCCTAATATAAAAATTGCTGTGAATTTACCAGCGGTCCTTGAGCCTAATGGTATCTTCCGCGACGACGGCAAGAGACCTGATAGGATGATGCTCATTCCTTGGAAGCAGGGTCGCCCTCTTGTATGGGACGCAACCTGCGTGCATACGCTTGCTTCCGTGCCATACAGGTAGTAGTGCCTCCCTAGCTGCAGGTGCGGCGGCAGCCTCTGCCCAGTACTCCAAGCGACGCAAATATTCAGCTCTCAATGAGAACTACATATTTGTTCCGTTTGGTGTTGAGACTATGGGTCCATGAGGTCCAAGCGCTCGTTCCCTTTTTAAGGAATTATCAAAGAGGCTCACCGAAGTGATTGCTGATCAAAAGGCTGGCAGCTATCTTGGTCAACGGATCAGCCTTGTCATCCAACGCGGTAATGTTTAATGTTTAAGCTTAATGGTAATGTTTAAGCTTATTGGGCACCATTCCTGATGGCGGTGCTGGGCGTGATATATTTTTTATTTTGTAAATTATTTATTTATGTAGGTAAATAAGTTAAGCTATATAGTTTTTAGGTTTGTGTTATTTTAATGTATCTCTATATTATTACTGAGTGTGAACAATCCTAATTTAAAAATGACAAATGTAATAATTACGTAATAAAACCTATTCACTTATCACGTCTAGGTTACATTGTTCATTTTACATTTTGGTAATTTTATCAATAATATATTAAGATTGCCTAACAGGTTGTCAACATAAAAGCGTGATAAAAATTAGAAATAGTAAGTTCTAAAAAACACATCCAACTTTTGCATAACGTTAGTGTCACGTAAATAATCCCGCTCGGATTATTCAAGCCGCGCCGCCGCGCCAACGAGCAAACACGCGAAATGAAAATTAATCACTAATTCGAGTACAGTCGCAAACTACTTTAAATAATAAATTTTTACACAATTTACATTTAACCGTTTCAAAGCATGATGTAGCGAGATGTCGACTTTCACAGAGCTTACTTATTTTTCTGATGAATTACATAAGTACTCTTTTTTTTTATTATTCTTCAACGTGCTTACAGTTTGCTAATGGAAAAAGTTGGCAAAGCTTCTTTAAAAAGTTTCATTTCATTGAAAATATGAAACTACTTAATAAATTCCCACTAATATTTAATCGAAACTAGAACTAATATATTTTTCTTTGAATAACGGTCACAGCGAGAAAACTGTCCCGGGCGTGAGTTTACTACCTACATCTCTTAGTTGTAAAATCTTACAGAATGTATAATATTCGCCTTATGTACATCTTTCGCGCCACGTTTCTCCCAATCATACTGTTCTTCTCGCCGAATAAAAATTTACCTATTTCAGTACCATTGAGATATTCTTTAACATTCTTCTTAATGCACGAACCGATATAACCTCTTCTTAATAATGACTCGGTATGCTGGTCATCGCAAATAATACGTCCTGCATCAATAAGGAGTTTTATCATATCGGAGTCTTTGTGATCCTGAGACAGTGCCTGGTGCAGAGCTTAGCCGATACATGAAATTGCTGCAGATATCTGCTTTTGTTTATTATGTATGGCGGTGTCCTTCTTTTGCAAGGTTTCGGACAACGCGGCCTTTACTTCTAAGTTTAAGATTGGTGGATCAATTAGTTTACAGTTTTCAGGCGTTAAGTATTTCTCTAAAAACTCCTTTTTTACAATTTTTGATACACCTGATGTGGCTACATGCTCCCATGTTTTTGCTATATTATTCTGAAGTTTTGGTCCGAATTTTTTATCTTTACTAGGTACATCCCCCAGAAAAATTAAAATTTCATCATCAAGAACTACTTGTCTTGTCTCATTGTCTGGAGGTTGGTCACCATAGCTATGCGTAGGCGCCGGTATAGGTGGCGCAGGGTCCCTCGAAGTACTAGGTGTTATGCTCACCCTGTCCGCAACTAGTGAAGGGAGCCTGGAAGCGTGCTCCGCATTGTCGGCAGTGTTGAAATCATCACTGTCATCGTGTAACTCGTACACCAGTAACTGGTCTTCGACGTCTGCAATAGAGGCCCAAAGTGCTATCGTTATAAAATACTGTACTTTTCACAACTACCAAATACTTGTAGAGAAAAGACCGGATCAATTATTATTATGTATATTTTATTAAAAAATTAAAAAAACGCGTTTTCAATAATAATTCTTAGTAGGTAGTATTTGACTACCTACTAAGAATTATTATACTCGGTTATAGTCACAAAGAACTATACACTGTAGTTTGAGCATGTAAGTACCATTAGGTAATAGTTACTTACGAGCTATAGACTGTAGTAGACACACCTACTAGTCGGTAATAGCCACAAGGAACCATACACTATAGGGAATTATTGTAAGGCAACATCCATTCCAGATGTGCACACACTTTTTATAAAACTCGCAAGACAATAGCTACCTACCATATTTAAAAAAGTATAGTATCGAGCTATGCACATTGCATTTCGAAATAAGATAATAACAATTAATGGTTTACCAACCTTCGTTTATCGACGGTACCTCTAAATTACTCGGCGCCGCGGCGTAGAGGAATTACTAGATGTTGTACGGCGCAGGCGCCTCTTATGTTTTGTTCAATATTTTCTCCATATGTTTTATTTTCTTCCACAATTTGCCACTTTCTTCATCAATAATATGTTTTCTTTTAGGCATTTTTAAGAAAACACAACTTTAAGTAACTATTTCACTGAAATACGAAAAATTTATAGAAGCGTGGTGAACGGCGGGACACTAGAAACGCGAATGGCGACAGCGCCCCTAGCTGATGGTAGTGTGTTTATACAGCCGTCCGAATGTAATTTTTTTTTATAGGCAAAGAAATATTTTTAAATCCAAAATATTTATTTACTATTTAAACTCTAGTGGATGAATGGCGAGCTAGTACGCGGTACTACAAGTTTTTTATAACTAATCTCGAGAACGAAGCAAAGAAGTATAATTACTGCACTAAAAAGTCAGAAATAAACAAAATATACTCTCTGTTTACTTCATTAGGGCTTTAGAGTAAGCCATGTTTGTAATAATGTTCCACAATTCAGTTATAATTTAAATATAATATATATCTTAAAATGAACTATAAACATGGCTTGCTCTTTGCTCTAAAGCCCTAATGAAGTAAACAGAGAGTATATTTTGTTTATTTTTGCCTTTTTAGTGCAGTAAGCAATAGCGTGTTTTTAGTTTTTTAAACTATTATTTTTTTATAAATTATTATTCCTTTTCCATTCCATATGTAAAAAAATACTAAAATCGGGTCACAAATCTCGAATATTAACCGCGCTCTTTTTGTTGAGCGCGGTTATTATTATTTTTCCTTTTTGGTAATCAGCAAATACCATAAGCGTAAAGTTCATTTCAGAGCATGGCTTCTTGAATATAAGTGTCACTAAGGCCCGTATTATAGATAGATTCTCAGTAATGAATCTAGTCTTGAGCATAGATAGAAAGGGATGTCGCTATATGGAGCACATAGCGATATATTTAGTCTGCGATATACTACTGAAGCTAAGACTCGGACATAAGCTAGTAAATAAATAAAATAAATTATTGTTTCATAATTGTTAGAAGAATGCTTTTCTTATAGTAAAGGCCGAAACAGCGCTTTTGAAAGACGCGTGTTGAGTCAAATCAAATCTACTATTTTCTATGTTCAGCATCATATTAGGAATGACGCCATGCGCACACACTACTGATAGGAAACGCTACGAAGCGTCGTCGGGTCGCGTCGCATTTTAAGTTGTCTCTTGTATCGAAAAAAAATATTACAAATAAATATATTTTATTTGTTTCTTAGGTTTTCACACGCATCACTCATTAAAAATATATTTTAGCCAATAAATCTAGCAGTTTAATTCTTGAAATTAAAGGATACTAAAAACATCGTCTATTAATGAAGTGTAAGTAACTTTACTTGTTTGCATTGTAGAAAATTAATCCCTTGTTCAATCGGAAGCCAATATTGTTAGAGTCTTTACTGGTCTCGTCTTTCAACGAAAGAAGCCGCAGTCGTTATTGCTTTGGGCATTTTTTACCTTTGATCTCGTCCCTTTGTAACTCGTCTTTGGTTTAACATCCACTCTCCTTGTACTTTATTAAATCTTTTATAACGGTAAAAAAATATGGTATATTCTGAATAGTTTATGCATTCCTAGTTACTAGTATAATTTGCGTCTACTTTTTCTACGATCATTTACTTATTTTATGTATAGTTTATTTACAGTTAAGAGTGAATAAACGATTCAAAGATCAAAGGAGGTACGGAGATGTTAAAATTAATATAGACAAGAGCAATTCCATTATACATGATACTTATGGATGCCCGCAACATCGTCTGCGTGCGTGGAAATATTAGTTTCCCATACAAAATTTGAAACCCCGTATTACCCCTTTAGGGGTTAAGTTTTGAAAAATCCTTTACTAGCGCAGCATGCCTACATCATAATAGGTATATGATGTGATCAAATTGCAATGCAATCTGTATAGTGCTTTGAGCTGTGCGTTGATAGATTAGTCAGCTAGTTACGGCTGCCTTTTATATATACAGTTATCGTACATCGGGGAATTCTCACCCTTTCTCCGACTAAGCTCACGGGAAATTAAACGTCAAAATAATTCTTTATATTTTTCATTTATTTTTTGTTGATATTAATTGACGATCCTGGCGAAAACAAAGTTGATTTAAGCGACTGTAGAAAGGACACCTGTCGTCAGCGTGTTACTATTTTTGTTTGATTAAAATGTTAAGCGCTATATTGTAAGATTGTAAGGTAATATTACAAATTCAGTCATGAGTGACTTTTAAAAACAATTTGTAATTTAATGTCTAGCAGCTAAGTTTTAGTTCGTGTTCTGTTAAAAGTGAATACCCCAGCCGGTACCTACCTACTCGCCTAAACTTTAAAAAATATGACAAATTATCTTTATCTTTTGAAATTTTGAATTTATCTTGTTTGGCAAAGAGGGTCTTTAGGCTTTTGCCAAACAAGAGAATTTAATACCATTTATCTATACTTATAATAAATCTGTAGAGAGGTCAATTCTGTACATGAAATATATTTTCAAAATAACTATCAGGGGGTGATTAGTGGTCGATACTGATGCCAAAAATGCAATCAGTAAAATTTTTGTCTGTCTGTCTGTCTGTGTGTATGTTCCTTATAGAAACAAAAACTACTCGACGGATGTTAACGAAACTTGGTACAATTATTCTTCATACTCCTGGGCAGGTTATAGTATACTTTTCATCACGCTACAATCAATAGCAGCAGAGTAGTGAAGGGAAATGTTGGGAAAACGGGAGAAGTTACTCCATTTTTTAAGCTTCCGTCGCGTGTGCAGCCTTAATGGTTAAAGTTACATAGAAATTATGTATGACGGAAATATTCTACATAAAATTGTCTAAAAAATATCCCGTAACAGCATATGTCTATCTTTTATGGTTGACTCACAATAACACGTGTAATTATATAAATAAAGTCATTGTTTATAACACAAGCCTGAGAACAAAAACTATAGTTTACACTACAGCTCTACACCGAAGCGAAGCGAGGGCGGGCCACTAGTTAACAATATATTTTTTCTTATTACGTTGCTACAAGACACAATAACTCGGAAACAAGTACTCATTCGATTCATTTGAGGACTTTAAAGGGTCTACAGTGTATAAACTGAATTACAATGATAATGTTCATTATCCAATAAGGGAAAAATCCTATGCTAGACTAGAATTAAATTAGGAACAGTTAATGTAAACTGAGCTTTTAAATAAATTATATGATTTGGACTTAACTTAAAAATTACAGTACCTATACTGTAATTATGTTGAAGACAATGGGCAGGCAGCCTGAGGTCTGAAATCACGAGCTTGCAACGTTTCATATATTTTTGTTGTGTATGTTTAATATAAAATAACAAGATGTTTTTTGAAAAAATATTAACAAATGTGCATTTTGTATGCAAAACAAAATAGGTAGGTATTTAGAAGAAAAAAAAATATTAATATGTTTCGTATACATATCGATATTTGGACAATACTTTGACTCAGTGTTTCCAGGTCCGATTTTAAAAAATCGGGAGGTGTTATAGAAAAAGCAGTAGCAGTAGATGTATGGAAAAAACTCCATGAAAAAACAGTAGACGCAAGGAAGTAAGTATTTTTTCCGATTTGCACTCCCACCTCCCCTAGAATAGGCAAATCAAATCAAAATAAAGGCCAGTAACGAATGTGTTTATATGGCTTCTGCCGCCTGAATTTTAAGAAGAAAAAGGTATGCTACGATACATAGTAGATTCATGTAGAGAAACAGAAGAACAGGAGCGAGAAATTTAAGAAAAAACAGGAGATCTCCTGTAAAATTGGGACTGAAGAGACGGATCGATACTAAAGATATATATTTGTCATGCTCACGCAAATTACTTTTCTTCGTAAGAGCCTTAGTAAATTACATCTAAAAAAATGGCTGAAATAAGATGGATGAAAATTTTACGGGATATACACCTTTAGAGAAGAGATTGGTAAATAGAAAGTCACTGGAAACAATTACTGAGAGTTTATTGAGATAATTTACACTACTATAACAAAGTCTATAAACATGAAAACTAAAGTAAAAGTATGGTGAAAGAATGGTTTATGTATGGTGAAAAGGTACGCGCGGTTGGTAAGGCTACCGGATAGACAATAATTAAAGATTCAATATGTTATTATTGCGAAAGAATGAAATTAATAAATTATCTCTTATCTATTAGACAAGTCCGTCCGTCTGTCTGTGGTGCTGTTTCAGCGGCCAAACCGTAAGAGATAGATAAAGAGAATATTTAAGTTATAAGTTAAGAATAGTCTGATAAGACTACAAACCAGATTTGAGTAACGTAGCACTTCCGGTTTTCGAGAAATCAGGTTTTGGTGAACATTTGGTTCACTGGTTTGCTAGTCTCTTATCTATTAGACAAGTCCGTCTGTCTGTGGTGCTGTTTCAGCGGCCAAACCGTAAGAGATAGATAAAGAGAATATTTAAGTTATAAGTTAAGAATAGTCTGATAAGACTACAAACCGGATTTGAGTACCGTAGCACTTCCGGTTTTCGAAAAATCAGGTTTTGGTGAACATTTGGTTCACTGGTTTGCTAGTAAAGTAATAAGTCGCGCAGCGGGTCATATTGCTGATGCATTAACCTACTTACTATGAGTTTAATGTGCGGCTAAACCCGTACAAAAATTGTAATATCATTCTCAAGTTATGGCGTGACCTAGAGCATTTTTATATATAGAGAGGTTATGAATTGATATCACTTTCACAAGGTGTATTGTCACATTTTTATT